TTAACAAAAATACATTATCATATTTCTAAATTACTGCATGCTCTATTCTGTTTTCATTGAAACATTCTGTGAAGTATCATATTTCTCCAGTGTCTTATGTAATCGAAGGAATTATAATTAAGTGAAACATTCACTATGTATTATAAGAATAAAAATAAAAGGTAATATAATAATTTTTAAATTCTAAATTTACATAATAAGTGCACTGCAGTCTCACTGGAATCTATTCTCAATTTTTATGGTTTCTTAACATTATTAATGTGACTAATTTTACCTTATCCCCATTTTTTGATCTGCAATTTTTGATGAATCATTTAAGATTATGAATACAATAAAGTAATAATGATGCACATGAACTCTAATATTAAGTGATTTTACATTACTTTGTAAGAAGTAATTAATTTGTAGATTAATTAAGTTTCTGCAATAAGGTTGAATTATTAATATGAATATTGAACTTACCTCCCCGCCGTGTCCATCAAATACAGCAAACAAGGATACACCTGTACTATTCATATCTTCATTTATGACAAAACGATCTTCCATACGAGGCCTGTGGCCTTGAACAGCATATGCAGCAATGTGTCCTTGTTTTAACTCCCAACTGAGTTTTACCCCATTGTTGACAGAATCATTAACTAAAAACTGTAGTTTTGATACCTATTTAAAATGAATTATTATATACATGTCTTATGTCTACACTATTGAAATTTATGATAAAATAATTACATAAGAATAATTAACAACTGAATCCTATATACTAATTTATATGATTTACCTTTGATGTGGTACGGCCAAGTGTATATTGAATTCTCCCTAGTAACGAACGGCTCCATACATCAACTGCTTGTATGTAAAATAGAATAATTGCCAACACTGCTCCACAAATTAATACTTCTGGTTTTAGTGCATAGGCCCTCATGATTCTCCAAAAATAACCCAAAGGAGTATTTATCCCAGCGTTTAATCCAGTGGGAATACCCACTGCAAACTTTGATACCAGCTTCATGTGTGACACATATGTCTGATTTACAATTGAAAATATACATAAGTGAAATTGTAAATAAATTGCTTTACATCAAAGCTGAGTATTAAAGAATTTTTGATGATTAATCCAAGTGATGATTAAACAACTAATTTAATCATAAATCCAATTGATAATTAAATCTCTGTTTTAATCAATTGAAACAATAATGATAATTTGAAACAATAACAATTACTACACTTGCATTATGATAATTAAATCTTAGTATGTATCGTTAAACAATTGAACTGCACATTTTGTATGCATCAATTTTTCGTTATAGTGTACGTTAAAGAAATATGGGAGCAGTTAACCGAGACCTATTTTTGAATACGAATTACGTGACACGAAAATCGTTCACCTATTACAAATTTAACAAGTACTTCCAGTACAAAATAATTTCTTAAAGAGCGTTAGTAAAACTTTAAATCATTGTTTCATCACCTGATACAAAATCCTGTCTTCGAGTTCGTCATCCATAATACAAAGTGCAAAACACCTCGAATCAAGCCAGTTTTGCAATGGGTTGGAGTTTCGGCGAAGAATTAACAATTATTTATTGAAACACGTACGTGATCGAACACAAAATACGTATGAATACAGCATTAATATTTCTTTCGGATATTTTCTACAGTCATTTGTTTGATAAGTTTACAAAATTGTATTCAGCCGACATTAATTTATAGAATATCTTAGCACTTATGAACATATGAGCACTTACAGCAGACGATACCAAATTTGAGACGTTACTGCAGATAGCAGCTTAAACTCACGCCGCAATTTAATGCACGCGGCATTCTTGGTGCATACATATGTGTGCTATTCTAAATGTACACATATGTATGCATGTATGTACAAATGTATGTACATCATTTATGTTATATTTAATTAACTTTTCTATTGATCAGAGTTAAAAAGACATATTATTTCTACAATTTGTACAATGCTCTTTCTTTCATACAATATAAAATTAATATGCAATAAAATGTATGTAACAGTATTTATAAATAACAATTACATACTACAATGTACAACATTTGTATGATAAATTATTGTATTAAATAACTTAAATGTTTATTAACCATATAAACGTTTAGGAAAAAATGGTTATAACTTACTGTCATTTAAGATATTTTAAAGCAAAGTGGTCAACGAAATTGCAGTGCATGTTCTTACGTATTTGAACACATTACTCATTATTTCAAATATCCAAGTTTTACTTCATATATGAAATAACATTGTGACGCTACTATCTAAAATAATATCTGTAGAGGTCTTTAAATAAATTACATACGTGGTTCAAACAAGGTCATAGCATAGATAAAAAGGATTCTTATAGAGACGAAACTCCGGCATTTTTTGATAGATACAATAAATATGTAGTACGCACATAAAGTACGATGAATATAATCTAACTACAGATCTATGTGTTCAACTGCGCATGCATAAATGAGTGCACTTAAAAACTACTGCATACGTAATTAGTAAATATCAATAGAGGCTAAGTTTCGATATTTTACATACACATCTTAGCTAATGAACAAAGCATTTGCAGAATTTTAAGTCTTAAAATGTGTGATTCAAATTAGTAGCTCTAAAGTTGCATCTTGAATACAGAAATTATGCACGTATATACATAAACACATTTGAATTATAGAAAAGCCCTACCTGTAGACGCATGTGCATTTACATACAAACACATGCGCAGTGGAGATTGGTTTTCGAAAAACAATGGAGTTTCGCTTCTTGTGTACATGGGTGATGTTTGATGTTCTTAGGACATTACGACTTACGACATTACGACGTGAGTTTAGAAGCGGCGTAAATATGGTCGCGGCAATAACGAGCGGTTACCATGGTCGTGTGTAATGAGTGCATGTGATGTTTGTGATTTGTGTTCTTGTCAGTGTACAGTAATGAGATCAACGTGCCATTGGCAAAGATGAGCGAAAGGAAGTTTACTCGCGGCTTGGGAAAACCCGGCATGGCAGCTCAATTGAGAGAAACTGTCTCCCAGGTAGTACGCGAGAGCACCGTACAGGTAGGACCGCTGACATTCTCAGTTTGCCACTTTTTGCCGCTCGATCTTTGCTATTAATTCTAACTCAATTTTTAAAACATAATTTTACAGTAACAATTGACACTGATAAAAGTTCGTTTCCCTTGGCATCATTAGCCGATACATTCATTAGAATTTTAATTCATTATTTATGACAATAGCTGTTAGCCTTGTACAAAATTATCGCTATACATATTTAAATCCAAAAGTAAGTAAATAGATATTCAACGAATTAACACTGTTTGTTAGACTTTTGATAGACTTGTGATAGATTTATTAACTAATCGTGAATTTTTTAACATAAAATTCCGTTTATTTCGATAATAATGTTATTCAGTTTGAAACATGCCTATTTATGGTAACTACCATCACCTTCTTTGTATTGTTCGATGATTATTATTATTATTACTACTTCCTTGAATCAAGGATAAATTATACTCTTTTTGTACATCGTTGTTTGTCCCATTTACTATCATGACATAATAGAGATTGATAAATTGGTGTTTAACTTCTAAAGAATGTACTGGCAAAAGTTCTACCCTGCATGTATTATACATTACTTGAATTAACATACACCTATTGCTTTTTTTATTTATCTCAAAAATATTATCATTTATTTTCAGAGCAAACCACATTTAGTAGAACCCATAGATTTTGAAAGTTTTGTATTAAAGAATAAAACTTTATTACAAAATGACCCTCAGAGAGAGCTTCTACTTTATCCTCAAGATGACGTCTCTGTGAGTTTTCAATCACTATTTCTTATCCATTTATCAAAATTTGCATCCGTTGTATGAGTAGATAAATTATCATGAATTCGTACACAGGATGTTACTGAAGTTAGACTATATTTATAAGTCCTACATTTTACTATAATATTGTTATGATATAATTGCAAATTGTTTTAATGTAGTAGTTTTTGAAAAATATTATTTTTCTTATAGCAAATAGTATTGCCCAGAAGATATCGTACTCTTACACCAACAGTACCACAAGTTTCAGATAATAATGAAGGAGGGGAGAATCTTCTTACAAAGGAATGTTTGCGAAGTTATACATCTAACTGGAACCTAATACATTATAAATATTCTGCTTATAGCGGAACTTATCTTGAATTACCTAAGTATGACTTCTACTTTTGCATTACCTTGACTTTTATATTAGCATAAATGTTATCGTTTGTTTTCTACAAGCAATATGTCCGTGAAACTTATGAATACTTTAACTCCAATGTGTAAAACTTGAAGTTAAAACTATTTGCTAATAAGTAATAAAAAAAATTGTATTTTCAATATATTTTCTCTTTTTTTAAAATAGAA